AGAAAAGTAACATCGTGAAAATTCACTTTATCTTACATGCAGAGCTCTCGATATCAAACGAAAAATAATGATTATATTTTGGTGTTCTCAAAAATTATTTATTTATTCAACAATTTCTATTTTGCCTCCAAAGTAATCCCCCTAAGATATAATCCATTCGTGTAAGCGTTTTCTCCAATCCTCAAAAGCGTTCTGGTATATCCTGGAGCTCTTTCAGCGATCCGGTTTTTATCTCTTCAATAGTCGTAAGAAGCCGTCCTTCCATGGGTTTCTTCAATCTTGGAAACAGAAAAAAGTCGCTAGGAACCAAATCTGGGGAATACGGTGGCTGTGGAATGATAACGGTTTTGTTTTTGGCCAGAAAATTACGAAAAAGCAATGACGAGTGAGCAAGATGATACTCCTTGTCAACCATACGACTATGTGGCAAGAATTTCTGATGCACTACGCCACGGTAATCGAAGAAAACTCTGAGCAAAATCTTGACATTTGATCGAACTAACCAACTCAGCATCATCCGAAGATAACAGTTTCAATTATTCCCTTATGATGCTAACTTGTTTAAGGAAATGCGTATCGAGAGACAATATTTTTGTTTTGGCGTGGAAAAGGCGTTTTCAGCAGATTCACCTCTGGCTATGCCTGAGGTTCCAATTTTACCTATTGAACTTGATTTATCTTCGAAAACACGCTACGCTTACCAAATTCTGAATACCAAGGATGATCTCTCGTCAAAATAAGTCGAGAGAAGTCACGAGAAGACAAGACGAGATAAGAGAATGCCTTCTCTCGTCGAGAGCAACGGTATTTATGACAAAACGAGCGATGAAGATAATCATATAAAATACCCATATTCTTTTAGAATAACAGAAATATGAATTGAGTAATGCTCTCCTTTCTCTCCTTTATATTGAAGATTCTATACAAGTATTTTCTCCTGGATTTCTCGAAATTGCCATATCAACATAATTTTTTAACTGATACTCTGAACAGGCTTCTAATTGGCTGATTTCTTTCTGAGTATGATTCAAAGTAATTATTTTTCCTGAATATCGACTTGTAATAAACTCCTTAAATCACTTTCTTTAAATCTTGTGAATAGGATGCTAGAGGTTCCAGTTCTACCCTCCATTACTTCGATAAGTTTAATAAAATGACCCAGATGAAGCATAACAGCCTTTTAGCTGTACCTATTCGAAAACAAGTTTTGATTAGAACGTAATCGGCTAATGTATTAAAAGGAATAAAATGAGTTTTGCTGAAAATAGATACTTAATTCTAAACAAGATGAATTATACCTACCAAATATCGTTATTATTCACTAGAATTTAATATTGTACTTGTTTCATAGTTTTAATGGACGTTTTTTGAGCAAAAATCAAACAGATCAAATACATATATATTACTGGAGTTTTTTTCCTAACACCAAACCATTATTTTAACACCTCCTCGACACGTGTTTCGATCACCAAGTGATCATCTTCAAGTGAAAGATCAAACAGTATTATTTTTCTCTTGAAGATGATCACTTAGTGATCGAAACACATGTCGAGGTGTCAAAATAACGGTTTGGTGTTGGGAAAAAACTCCAGTAATATTTATTACTACACCAAAGGTTCCAAACAGTGCATCACAAGAACAAACACATTCAAAATAATAACCATTCCAAAACAACAAAACTGTAACACTCTTCTTGATCCACGTTTCACCAAAGTTGAAGTACACTTCGTCTGCTGCACACACCAACTTGGTTATTGAAACGCGTGTTGAGAAAAGTTTGCAACTCTGGTGTTTGGGAACAGTGTTTCTTTCGAATTTATTCCATGCTAGAGGTCCCAGTTCTACCCTCCATTACTTCGATAAGTTTAATAAAATGACCCATATGAAGCATAACAGCCTTTTAGCAGAACCATAATGATAATAATATTCAGTTAGTGAGTATAATACATTGTTGATAGAATCAATTCTCTATTCTGAGCAGAACTCATTTTATCCATTTTGGGTAAATCAACTTGGGACGTTCCAAAAGTCCTTGTTTTCATAAATATTTCATTTTCACTACCATTCTATTTCATACCTTTCAGTTTCGACATTTTGATCAAATGATGCCATTTTGCTCAATTTATTCCGCTCGTCAAACTCTTTCATACTATGTAAATGATAAATCGCCATTTTGTTGCATCCGCCATATTGGATTTGAAATGACGGCATTTTATCAATAATAATAATAAATGGATGTCATTCATCAATAATACATATACAAAAACGAAAATAAAATTGTGATAGATGAATTGATCGATGAAATGCAGAGTTCATCTCATCGAAATTTTCTCAAAAACGAAAGGTGTGTGGGATATTTCAGTAAGTAACATCAACGTCAAGTTGAATAAAAACTTGTAATGATATAATAGTAGCTAAAATCTTATTTTTTTTTGTCGTATATCGCTGAACATGAGGGAACTAGATCGAATTCATGCTCTACAGTACGTAACTTTGCTGCATACGATTGAGGCAAAGAATCATTACACATGCTTCATCAAGGAAATACATACTTTTATATAGCTGTATCATCCCTTTCTTTCGCAAGTGAAAAACCTAGTCGAGACATTCAACTTGCATGAAATTTTATGGAAATCCATAATGACTGAGGTGACTTACAGGACTGAGGTAGCTTTTTTGCTTGAGGAAGCTTAATGTATAGCGAATCACGGTCATATTTTTCGTAAATCCCTCGTAAAAAACTGTTACAGTAGATTGTGTCAATGAAAAAAGTTATATTTAAAAGCTGATGGATGATAGCTCTTGCACTTGTAATAGTGAAGAGACCTATACAAACATGAGTTGTCGAAGTTTGGCAACTGATGACATATCATTATCATTCGATAGTTTATTATTGTTTATTTTAAAGTTTCTACGGTTTGAAGTATTTTATACTTCATACACTAATATACGTATCCACACCTAATAATCTGCACGCTTTCCACGATTCATAGGAAGTGTCTAATATTCCGCATACTGAAATATTTAAATTGCCAGATATCGCAGTTGGAATATGGAATATGCTATATAATGTTTTTACAGAATAATCGAGCGATAACGAATTTCATGAACTTGACCCAAAACCCTAACATGGGTTTTTTTCCAGTGAGTAAGCAATTTTTCATTGAAGGGTTGTTTACCTAATTTGGATGCACAAATTGATGATGCATGTGTAAAGATCCATTGACCATACTGTAGGCTCGATTTCACTCATTCGAAATACTAAAATAGAAGTAGAAAACCAAAAAAAAAACAAGTTTTTAATCAATAACCTCTTCAAAAACATATTTTCTTCATAACTCTTGTGATGTAATATTCTCTGAAGAAATAGTTAAGATAAAGAACTGTTGTGTTTGTCGCTAGAGGGCGGGGTATCTCCAATCGCTGACCCCGTCTAGCTTGTAGGATAGGGTTTGATTGCTGTATGCATTTCCGACTTGGCTAGGGTCTAGGGCACAGCGATGCAAGTGCGGGTGCAGGTGCCTCATTGCCATTGCATCGATCGCTAGCATCGATCGACTGCTCCGGTGATGATGTTCACTAATTGAGCCGTTTTTGTTTTTTAACCGCTAGATGGTCCGGCATTTGTCAGTGTCAACATATTTGTGAGAAGTATCTCAAAGATAGATGACGTGACAATGGTAAGTGGTATGGATCAGGGAATGGATCATCTCTGTTCATGTAGCATTGGATGGTAGCATAGTTTCTATTCAGAGATGTGATTCTAAGAAGAGTCGGAGCCGTGGCCTGCGTGTGACGCTTTTTCTGTAGGGGGGGTATGGGTGGCGGGCGACGTGCCATTGCTGCATGCGGAATGGCCGAAGAACGATATTTTTTTAGAGAAAGCAGGACCTTCCAATGACCTTTTTGAATTCCTATGATATTTTGTGAGTTACCCACTAAGATGGAAGTGTAAAGTCAAATTTACAGATCAACAAATATTGTTTCGGAGGAGCTAGGTCAATATCGGCCTTTTTTTTTGAAAACATTCTAATTCTCAGGAATTATTCATATGTCATGGTGAAAACTGGTCACCTACGCAGGATTTAGTCGAAGTCTTAAGATTCCAGTTTGAACGTGAAACGAATATATAGAATTTTCTAATCTTAACATTTTCAATTGTTTTCAAATAAGTTACAAATCTTGGAATAATTCAAATGGTATTGTGAAACCTGAAATACGTTTTTTTTTAATGAAAATGTTGGTTGATGGATACGACTTTGTTTGCTATGCAATCAACACGTGTATTTTTTCCATTTTTTCGTAATTAGAACTTGTTATTTATTCACAACAGGCCCCAGTGAGTACTCATTTTTTAATTCATTCGTGAAATCATCGAATAAAATCATCTTTGGCTTCAGTTTATACTTTGGATGGATTCACAAATACGTATAGTGGATGTGGAGCGGAATCTCAATTTTTTTGCAAAACTGGAAAATAAGACAAACTTCAAACACATGTATCTTCCAAACGAAATATCGCATATTATATTTATTATTGTTCATTCCCCAATTTGTTTTTCACATCTCAAGTAACTGAAACAATCGAAAAAAATTTCAACCGTTTTTCCATTATTGGGGACTCTTTTGAAAATAGCTGAAAATTTTCAGATTAGAAAATTGTATTATTCTCTTTTGATCATGGTTCATATGTATGTTCCTTGGATAATCTGAATAGAGGTGACCAATTTCCACTACTAAAATTGCTTTTGCTGAGAGAGCGTTTTCAAAAATAGGTCAAAAATAGGGAAAAAAGAAAAATGGTATTCATCTCATCCAAAAATTATTTTGGAGATTCGAAAATCCGTCTTTTATTCCCCCACCTGAAGGATCATGGGAAGGCGCTGCTTTTCTTACAAAATATCGTTCATGGCGAGATGTGATTGGTGTGGCCGTGGCCCGCGCCGCTCAACTGTCATCTGTAATCTTTATTAAACTTTATTAATTTCTGTTCACACGCAGTAGGAGGGACGGACGGGCCGACCGTAGTATACATCAACTTCTTTCTTCGATCTATCAGCAAAATAGACGATTATAAAATGGTGAGTGCGCGGTCTGCCAGTCATGTCAAATATTGGATGATGTGTGATCGTATCAACTGTGTTGCAATTATTGTATTTACCAGGCCATTGTCATTGCATTCACTTGCACAGTGCCACCAGCCGATTGCGTCTGATGGTGAATGCTTGGTGATGTTGCAATGAGGGCACCGCACCGGCGCGAGCATGTAAGATGTGGCGCTCGCTGTCGCTGCAGCCCCGGTGATTATACGCTGATAGATGTTGTTCTGTTCGTGCATGCATTTCCTGCTTTTGTGACCTTTTCCCAATTCAGTTTCCTCCAGCACATCTCAACCAATTACCTGGATTGTTATAATGAAAATGGTCGATAATTTATAACTCAATAGCATATTTAAGTAACAGTTCAATGTGAGACTCCCACTGAACAAATTACAAAATCGCAGCTCGCGATCCACTAAACAATAGTTTTTTCAGGCGTGCCAATGAAATGAATATATAAAAAAACCAACTACGTTCTCCCACTGACCTCAATCAAAATCCACATTTAATTGCCGCTTTCATCATAGGAAAACAAATATACTTAACGAAAGAAAATTATTCAATTCTTTTCAATCACTGAGTAGGACTTCCAAATTGTTGAATCCAGTATTTTCAAAAAATTCCAAAAATTGGGGTGTGAACCTTGAGGGTAGGGACAAATCTGCTCTATATGACATTGAATTTTTGTCTTCACTGTCTTCAATAAACTTGCTCAATTCATTATTTGTTCTGTGAGTTACGTCCGAGTCTTTCTTTTTCGAAAAAGAGATTTCTTTTTTATTCACTTAAGTAGGTTAATGTTGTATGACACTTATCATACCATTTCTCTAAGTTGGAAGATCTGATTCATATCTTGCTTCCCTAGATTCCTAATTGGAATGAGTCAATAATATCTACCTAGTAACCGTTATCAACAACAATGTGTTCAATAAACCCCAGCAGTGTCTGAAAATTGCTTTCTGACATTAGAATATTCAATAGTCTGTATTGAATGCTGTTATATTACGGTGATACCGATGTCTCTGGGAATTATTAATGACATTGTTTCTATAAGAATTTATGGTTCATAAATGATTGTGGAATTTTTTGACAATAATTTCAGTGTGGGTTGTGTCTTCAAAATTAATTGTGTTATTCACATCCATCTCTGTGGTGAATTTTATTGATGGGTGAATGGAGTTGACAAATTCAACAAACTTGCTCAACTGACCACCTACGGATGAAACAGACTAAGATGTCATCTTCTTAAGTATCTGTAGCAGTATGAGAAATTATAATTGACTGGTTATTATGGATTTTGTTCTCTATATTCATGAAAACACAGCAAGGGACTGTTTTACTCCTGGATTTTTTTTCAGAGACGCTAACCAGTTCAATTATTTCAATTAGCGGAATTGAATTTTTGATATTAAATGATATTAATTCAGGTACATCAGCGTTCAATGATGAACATGATTTTGTAATTTTCCACAAACCATCTCACACGGATATTGTCATATCGGAAAGTAATTTTCAGAGAAAATTGAATTTTAGCAAATAAATTGCTGTCGAAAATGGCTATAGAGTCTATATCATTGACTCATTTAGTTTGAACCAAAGTCAAGAATTTTCAACAAAACCCTTTATATTTTTTGACTATTCCATCGGATATGAAATATCGTTTCCAACACTTCTGGCCATTCCTATGGCGGCGTAGAAACCATTTTTTCCAAATGCAATGTGTCGGTACTATGGCGTCATCTATGGAAATATTGTCAAACAACCCAATATAGAAAGAAATGAAGGACCAAGTTTGTTAAGTTTTTGTATAAAAATCCAAGTTTTTTTTTCAATTTTTCTTTGGCATATTTTAATTGTTTTATCTCGAAAATCTCAATAGGAACTGATGTAGTTATTATCAAACGGTTATATTTAGCTGCCCTGTTTGAGTCAAATTTGGTCATTGAAGTTTGACCCCCTTCCCATTGACATATTGATTTGATATTTGGTACACCAACTTCAGTTCTGATGGCAATACAATTTAATAAATTCTGTATCATTTCAAATCCAAGATGGCCGCATCTACAAAATGGGGGATTATTTCACAACTACCTCAGTATAGGAGAATAGTGATACACTTTGAAATATTAACGTGTCTTAAGGATTGGTAAATGGCGCTATCGGCTACATTGCAGAAAATATTTGGCCACAGTTTCGTCGAACTGAAATGTACGAAACAAGTGTACCGTCAGTTTAGATGTAATGTAAGGCAGCACTTGAAGAAGGACAAGCATATGTGGCCCTAATCCGAGTCTTTGGAAAGTTCATGTATTGAGGAATTAGATTGCAACAAATTTTCGGGAAATGAACCTTTTAATACTGAGGCACTAAATGAACTGAACAGAATGAGAAGAATTCAGTAACAAAATCAAAAACTTGAAAATAAAATAAGTAAAAAAAATCTATGTCAAAAGCTTTCTTTTAAAAACGGAAATAATGATGTAGGTAATGTTCTGAAAGGTAAAAAATAATTGGGGAGATCCTAAGTAACAGTCATCACACCATTCTTCTCAGCAATCTACGGTATTGATAAAAAAATAATAAAATCGTTGGGCGTTGTATTTACATATTTACACAGGTTACGAATCAATGGCTGATAGCAACATCGATAATAAAACAAATAATTGAAAAAGTCATACTAATTTCCTACATGGAAATACGAACATTTGAATCAAAATTAGAATAGGAATTTGATAGTTAGAATGTTGTATATTAGAACAAAATACTGCCTCTCGACGCGAGATACTAATGACTTGTCATCAAGAGACAGTGTTTTGTTATGGTGTGGAAAAAGTGCTTCTTTCAGTTTAGACGTTGATTCCAAAGTTCAAGTAGTTAAGGTGTTGGTTGGAGACATCGTTGAGAGTCTTGAGCCAGGTCGAGTTGATGCTATGATCTGAGCACACGGGATTCCTTTACAAAAACTTGAACACTTTGGAATGAGATGTAACATCAATTTTTTTTCAGACATGTCATAAACATAAGACAAGCGGTTTACTGTATTGAAACGAACCTGATTTGCAATTCGATCGAAGTTCCTCAAGGCTCGGTCTTGGGAACTACTGTGTTTATAATTCATGTAAATGATACGTTGTGTAATCTAAAGCCTTTTTTATGTTTTTTTGTTCGCTGACAACGTAACACTGTATGAATCAAGTTACGATAACGACTTCCAAAACTTTTGAATCTCATCAGTTGAACATAAATCTGATAATTAGTTTTCAGCGACTAATTTCTGACGGAATCCAAATAAAATATAAAAAATTGGATTTTGAAATCCTCAAGATAAAATAGGTCGAAAAGCCGAGCTTCAAATGGCATTAAGTAACGGATCTGCTGATGGATCACGAATGCTTTGTCTTAGGGTTCTGGTTTCAACTAGTTGCATTCCACTAAAACTTGCAGCGAAAAACAGAAGACAAATCTTGTTTTACAATCGATGCCGAAAACTGGCTTTGCAACGGACTACCCTTGAGAGCCTCGTTTATCTTTGATATTCGTGGATTAAGTCTTCTGTCGATCCGTTGATGTCGTCTTTTTAAGGGGAAATGTCAGCTACTTCATTTCCTCAGGTTTGTCAGTTGAAGACAGTTAAATACACAATGCATTCGTGGTTAAGCCTAGCATGTGACATATTGTGGGATGAAACAGAGATGTTTGGTATTGGATCATGAATGATTTGTTTTCGGGCTTCCAGTTCACCTCATTGAGGACTTGTCTGTTTTTTTGTAGATACTTTCAAGGGAATTACTTATCTAACTTAGACAGTTTGATTCCCATTGACATGGTTTGAAAAAAATCTGCTGTAAATCTAATATTTTCAAAATAAAAATATTATTTGGGTTATTTACTTATTTACGTATTGAAAAAATAGTTCTATGCTTTGTTTATCCAACGATGTCAATAAGAACTTGAACGCCATGACCTAAGAATAAGTGTGAGTATGTATGCATATATGCCACTATGAATGAATGCGTCTTTACAGATATCACTTTGATTTTTTTCAACTATAAATATTGGCATGAAGTTGGCCAACCCCAGAGGCTAATTTTATAACAAAGTTAGGACTCTACAAGTGCGTGATAGGAAAAAAAAAAGGAAAAAGCCGAGATAACAAAAACAAGTTGATATCTCAAGAAACTGGAGAACTTGAGGAAAAAGTCAAGGTCTCAAGAAAAAAGCGAACTCTCGAGAAAAAGCGATATTTCCTTTAAAATTTGTAAATAGTCCTTCTACGCCTTCGTACTCTTTATATCACTGTTTCTATTTAAAAAACAGAGACTGTGTGAGGAATGTCTTATTATAATGATGTTTTTGACTCGGGAAGTCAAATATTCTGAGAACTACTTATTTAGTGAATCCATGTGTAAAATAATTGGTGCTTGATCAACCACATTATACAATGACATAATTGCACTGCAAAAAAATTCATAGTCGGGATTTTCATTAATTACGTTGAAATATTATATACACCCTTCAGTGTCAAAATACCTCTTCATTCAAGTAACTACTGGCATCCCTTTCATTGTACCTTCATTTCTGAATAATCACACTCATTATCAGGTATTAATAGGTGATTTTTCTGTTTTTGTCATGTTCTTATTGACTTTGTCGGAGACACAATGCATGGTACTATTTTTTCAATACTATTCAATGCAATATGTAAATAACCCAAATAATATTTTTATTTTGAAGTTATTACATTTTCAACAGATTTTTTAAAACCATGTCAATGGGAATCAAACGACCTAAGTTAGATAAGCAATTACTTAGGAAGTATCTATAGAAAGACAGACAAGTTCTCAACGAGTTTAAATTAAATCCCAAAAAAAAAATCATTCGTGATCCAATACCAGACATATCTGTATCATCCCGCCATATGTCTCATGCTAGGCTAAACCATGCACGAATGCATTGTGTATTCAACTGATTTCCCACGTCGA